ATAAAAATAGTTGAATCAAAAATCAGCGAGCAGTCAAAGTGTTATTCATTCTTCATTCGAGTGAACGTGATTTCAGCCATCTTCTAGTCAACCAGAAGAGGTTCGATGTGTTCGAGAACAGTTATCGAATTGCTTCGATCAGATATCCTGCTATCTTCTTCCGCATCCTGGCTATCGGGTCGCTGAGAGACAGTCTTTCAAAGGCCATGTCAAAGGTACTGTTTTTTTACCACGTATCTGACAATATTATCTCCCATTTCAGATCTGCGGCCCGTATTTCGTGAAGAATTGAAAAAAATGGTTTCGTCGTTGTTGAATCCACATGCACTTCAACCCAAATTGATCAACGGAAAACCAGTCACCTGCCGCAAACTCATTCAGTATTTCAAGGTTAGCTTTTTGAGTGGAGATTTGCGGATTGATCCATACAAATAATCGCACATGTGATGTAGCCAACGGTAGATGATTTTATTTCATCAATGGCAACCACCTGTCTGAAATCGAACAGATCCCATCGGCTTCACGCCAGCCAAATATCAGATATTCTCATCTTTTAGGAATATGTGAATTGCTTCGATGGCAGCTCTCTACCACAGGCAAACAGTATTCTGAACGCAAATGCTAAGCTGATCTGCATCGAAGCCGCTCACGAGGCCAAAGTTGCCTATTGCCGGGGAATGGATCGAGTGAGCATTTTCTCTAAGCAGAGGATGAGACAACTCTCTTACCACTTCTCCCATTTATTAATCTTCTAAAATTTGTAAAACAAAGCAAGACCGTCTTCAACGTTATCACTAATACAGTGTAGTCACGCGCTCCGGCAGAGATTAAATGGAAGTGAAGAGTGATTTTACTATTTACCAGAAATTAGTGAGCTTTCACGCAAAAATAGAGACACCTTTTCCACTGCGGACAGCGGCATTACTCGACTCAGAAGCTTTTGAAAATTCGTAGAAAAAGTGATAGGAAACTATTTTGACTCGTATTTTTTTGAGGAAAAGATATACGAGCGCGATTTGAGTAACGGATTTCAGTAATGATTATGAGGTCAGGAGGAAGAACAGAATATAACCAACAGTCTATGGGCATATTTATGCTGCATTCAAATATATTACTTTAAACGGAACCAGCAAATATTATTTTTGAGGTGGCAAAGGATAGTGTTTTGAAAATTTTAGAGACTAGTCCGAAAATGTGTTTAGATTTGCTCAAGTGAATATTGTAATTCATTTCATCGATGAAGATAGATCTGTAATTACCGGTGGATTTGCAATGAATGTATTTGTTGAATTCTTCTGAACAGAGTTGTACGGAATAGTACTGCGTGCCACATAGCGTATAGTGGCGCATCACACGAAAATCTCGGAGGTCGAATTCAGTTGCAATATATATTGAATGAATAGATTGGTAGCAGCGCATTTCAGTGGGCCTACTGGTCAGCGTGAATTCTACACTTTTGTTTCTCAACGCGTTAAAAAGATTTTCTGTCCGTTCAAGGGCTCACTGTTCCATTAATGTATACTTTTCAGTCCACGGTAGGCTCGCGGATGATTCCGGAAAAGCGGCTGCTTGAAGCCCACATAAAACATGGCATCACCGCGCTAAACATTTATGATAGATGTCCAAAAATCGGAACCGCCGAGATTCGCACTCGTTTATTAGCTAAACTTCAGGAGGACATCAATGTGAGTGCAGGTTCTTTTTTTTTACTTCGCAAGCATAAAAGTGAGTAGTCTCACTCTAAAATAGAATTTTGAAAGGGAGATGGGGGAATTGAACCCTCTTTCCAAGCTGAATTTCTGTTGCTAATCCTTACCAATGTTTAATGAACTTTTTGCTCTCCATTAACTGAGAGCGACCTTTATGACAACAGTTGCACACGCCTTCATCTCACTCACGAACGTCTAGAGAATGCGCGTGTTTTCCTATTGAATTGATGTTCAATTCATTCCAGGAATTCTCACAAAGACTGTGCTTTTTGCACAATATGACATCACGTTTTTGGTGTATGGATGACCGGCTGAGGTAGCCCGTGCTCATTGGTATACCCAATTAGATACTAACTTAGATGGTCCGTTTTCACTAGTTGTGTGGGCCCCAGCACATATTCTAAATGGTATAACGCTGGTTGTGCTTATGATAACCCTTGGTTTTCCGATGTAACCTTGCACAGGCTTCTTCAGGTCTACATGATGTCGTTTCGAAGAAATGGGTTTCGGCGACGGTTTTCTGGCTGTGTACCTACTAGTTGACTCGGAGATGGTGTTAGACCGAAATCAAAAGCGGAGATAAGGTGGAATCCGTGACAACAAAACCTTCGTGGATGTAAACCATTAGCAACTACATACGCCTGGAACTCTAATCATCTATTCTATTCATTTCACTGAAGCCAGCTAATTTATAATGTATGAATTACGACTGTGAATTGGAGAAATGGAGAATTTTCAAAATGCGAAGTACTACTAATAACTGGTCATGATAGGGAAAAGAATTGATAGAACTTACGTTGAAGTGCAGAAGTTATGTGGACATTTCTGGAATGGTAAGAAATGTATGTGTCAACATTTTCCTATGAGAAGAAAATTATCATCTCCGCACTGGCAATTTATCGTTAGCAATGATTTCAATTTGTCAAATAGTAGAACCTTTTCACATTTGGGAAGCGGTGAAAACGAAAGGAAGACTGAAGAGAATCGAACGGGAAATTCGTCAACCTTCACAAACCGACAAAAACATGCCCCTGGCCGACCTCCGCAGTGACTTTCTCTATGGCTCACAGAAATGGAAAAATGACTTGTCTTTGTCCTAGTGAAACTTATATGGCAAATTGACTTATGCACACTATGTAGCTCATTTGTTCCAAAAGTAAGAGCATTGTCATTGTTGTGAGTTTTCAAATGATCTGATCTATACTAACTAGGTTCGATGCCAATTTGTGTCATCTAAAACAATATTATTGATGGTTAATTGCTAATAGCAACCAGTTCAGTGGGACGAGTCTAAGAGAAAGGCGAAATAAGAGCTTCGAAGATGCGAAAGGTGCCATGTGAGCTTCGGAATGGGATATCGCGAGTGCGAAGTCATTCCGAGATTCCTAATCTTTCTCCCAACTCAGTATATTTGTGCCCCATACACGAATATTCGAATATTTCTATGTGCTACTAAGCGCTTATAGGCTGAACTGGAGCGATACAAGCGAGTGAACGCCGCAAAGAAAGTGACAGGGTGTGCGTCAGCGATGACTGCTTGTGGAGACAGCGCCTTGCTCGGTCTCGGCCTCGGCGCAGCTACTTCAGGTTAGACTAAGACCGTTTCCAAGTAAAACTAATAAAGGAATGGTTGAGACTTCTTACAAGAGGATGCAGGCGCAGTACAAGCGAAGGATAGTTAGTAAATTTATAGAGGATTCTATTCAGTGCAAAGTTTGTAAATGCCTATTTACTCCTGTGAACACCTTTCTATACTATCTTTTGCACTCTCAGGAGCTCTTGCATCAGGAAGGAAAACCGTAAGATTTTTAAAAACTTATACGATGTGATGGGTAAAAGTGTAATACTCAGTTCTACTCTGTTTCGTTGAACACGAGAAACAATGTAGCATATCGTGTCGATCGAAGACTATGGAGTTGTCGACGATCCGTTTTAACGTGTATGGAAATGAGTTCCCACTATCACAGAAGATCCATCTCACACTTTCGATCGAATTAAAGACGATTTTTCCATAGCTTCTTTCTGTTTCTAGGCTCCAACCGGGCGAGCATTCCTGTCCGCTTCTTTACTTTCGAGCACGATATATTCTAAAAACCAAATCCTACTCAAATTTCAGATCTTTTACATACGTTCTAGGTCGTGTACGTGTTTTCAAGTTCAGATTCATATTGCCTCGTTTTTTTTTCAGATTAAACTTTCTTCTTATCCTACCAACTTTTGTAAACGATTGAAATATTCAATCTTATCTTTCTCTTTTACTGAGAGCAGGAAATTTTACTAATGACGGAGAAGGAAAAACGGAAAGCTAAGCAAGGAGAAAAATGGAATTATTCGATATCGTCAGTTCTATCGAATGCTGTATCATACAGTTATTCGGGAAAAAAGTAGAGATATACGATTGTGGACAAAAGATCAGAATGAGGCTGATTGAACTGTAGATATCAAGAAGTAGACGAATAGCAAACGCATATTTCAGGGTCCGTCGCAGCAGCGATTTTGACCCTTCAGACAGGACTCGTAAGCGCAGGTTTTTTTCTACTTCACTTTTACTGCAAAATTATTTTTTGCTTAGATATACGACTTCTGACAGCATACGACGTGAACCTATTAGAGAATTACCTCTCTGATAACGTTCAATTCAAGGCTAGAACTTTACTGTTGGGTTGTCCTATAATTTCTTTCACACCTATGTTTCAACAGTTTGCTGTAATGTTTCAGAGAATGTTCTAGTAGCTTTAGCCAGGGGATAGCAAGATACTAGGTCAAGATACTAGCGGCCACACCCGCCTGCTCATGCAAAGCCCACGTTCCATGTTTAGAGGATTAAGACCTCGGTTTTCTTGGGGAGGCAGGGTACGCTGTTTTGAGGACTGCATGACAACAAGCACATAATATAACACTCTACTTGACGCTGTAAAGCCTGTTCGCCACATTCCGCAGAAACTGGGCCGGACCATGGCACGACATCCAACGTATGGCCCTGATACTGCTATACCGGATTATCATCTTTTCCGCGTCTTGAAGGTGCGTCTGTGTGTAAAAAATTTGAGAGCAATCGGCTTAAAAGTGACCTAGCCGACTAAGATCTTCAGTCTTATTCTTTCCGGAAAACATCCAATCTGTGCCCAGAAAATAGTTGCATATTATTGATTGTGATGGTGATTATATTGATAATTAACTGATTTCTTTGAATAAATAGCAATGGCATAAAAATTGAATTATTTGACCGCCTCTTGCGGTTTTCAGATCTCAAACCATTTCCAATAGTGTGGAGTGTCGTGCAAAAACATCTGCGTAAGCCGGGATTCGAACTCAGATCTCACTCTTTCCGGGAGCGTGTGCTAAACCGTTACACCACCAACAATTATATTATCAAAAATTTGGAAATGCAAACGAATTATGGGACAACCTAATGCTGTTTGAAAGTACGAATAAAATCTACAAACTTCTTGCCAGGAAGATGCATCAGCAACAACGATGTCACGGTAGTTAGTCATATTGATAGATATTACTCAGTGTGCTGAAGTTTTGTGAAAGGCTTTGTAATTTCTTCTTAGGCGAATTTTCCCGCTTATGTGAATTTCTAACCGGAAACTAGTCTTTGACAGTAATATCCCCTGAGAAATTTTCATGAATTTGGGATAAATAAGAAAAACACGAACCTGTGAATCTAAAGAACATTTTTGGTACGTCTTTATGGATCACATTCTAGGACGGCACGAACAGTATTTATCATCATCATTCAGAGGCCTTTTCAAATAACAAAGCTTCTCCTGTTAGCTTCTGGAAATCATTTATTATCTCAAAAGATGACAATTTCAACACTGTGCTTGGTTCTTGAAAGAGCTTAGTGTATTGCAGCAGCTGAAAGAAAATTACGTTTCACCTACGGCGTATTTTTTTTACTCAACTAGGGTATGTGGATTATAGTCACGAAGCTAGTAGTCTTTGAACAGTTCGAGAGATCTATTTTTAGTAATGAACTCGCTTTCCTGGAAACGTTTTCTTGTGCGCCGTAGGAGCTAGAGGAAGGTCACGTTCTATACTAGAAATGGTTAGCCCGTAGCTTGAACTTAATAGCGTTTTATTTGACAATTTAAAACAAAAAAGTCAATACTTATAGGGCATATGGCTGAAACTCCTCTATAATTCTCTAAAGGCTCCAACTTTAAAAATACACAAATGACCGGAAAATTGATATACCCAGTGATGTATGCTTCAGGCGGGACCCGAACTCTTATCTTATTTCATACAACGCATTTATCTGTCAGCAACCAACCGTCAGCGGACCGAACAATTGTGAGAATTCTTGATGAACAGATACGAAATCGCACTGTGAGCAGCGATTTTTGAGCAGCATTCGGAAAAGCCGCATTTTGAGTCATCTGAATAAAATTTTTGTTTCTGTTTCGTAATGTACCTTTAGATTTTTTGACAGTTTGATACTTCACGATAGTTCTACGCGTTCATACGCTTTTCGTGCACATATAGCTCTTATGTGCAAAAACCTCTGACGGTGAACGTTATTTCCTTTTTGTTACTACACCGCATGGAACGGTCTTCAAGAAAGGCAAGTTAGCCGTTTGATCATTGCTCCTCAAGCCATCCAGTGAGTGCTAGAAGTCTAGTGAAAAGTCGAACGGTGAAGCTAGCCGAGCAAACAAAACATGTGTAAAGTAGTATCCTCATGGCCCACGACAGTGCATTAAGAAACCTTTCAAAACCCAAGCACACTGCTGAAATCTCCGCTTTTCATGCTTTCAAAAAACTACTGGAACTCTGCTGGAAAAGCCGTGATAAGCGCCTTTTCATATTTTTGGTTCAAAAACGGCTCATGTCTTTCCGTAAGGATAAAACAAACAAAAGACATTTAGTCTTCTTCATTATTAGCGAAAAGCAATTTTGCTGCCGTAGATTTTTGCGAGAGCAGGAAGGGCCAGAATGAATTGTCACCGTGTGGCAGGAAACTGAGCATACTCTATTTAGGAATCGTTGCCATTCCTATCTCATTTGCCACTCTTTTACTGATCTGGACGTACGTCTACTCAAAACCTCACCTCGACCACTGCCTCGACAAGCGGCCCCGCTAGACGCCCTATGTCACTCTTTGCTACCGGACCGTCATTTCATCAATTCCTCTGCAGTTTCACTTTTATATTTCACTACATTGTCCACATTTCATTGATGTGCCTTCGCAAACGATAAAGATTCTTGAAAAAAATGTAAATATTTCAAGCTGTATGAGTATCCCGTAGGTTTAAAGGTCGGGGTGAGTATGAAAGGATATATACGTGTGCAAGAAATAAGGAAACTGAAACAAATGTTGGCACTTAACATTTTGTGAGATACGAAGACAGCAAATTGTACTAACTTTTCTTCAAATTGTTAAGTTCAAAAGTTCATGGAATACAAAATTCACCCTGGTAGCAGAATGCGCTCGCTGAAGGTTTCCTATGAGAGCTGATTGCCACTCGAAATGTAGGTGGATAGCGAGTGTGGCACTCTAGTCCATCAATTTTTTCGGTGACTGCAGTTGATAGCATGATATCCGATCGAAGACATCAATGCAATAGCTTCCCTTTCAATTCATTTCATCATTTATTTCATTCTGAGTCAACACCATGTGAGTCAACAGCTTTGAAAATCAAAGCAACATAGGTTTTCCTATTCGCTTAATTCGACTTGATTTCAATGCTTAACGCCAAGTCCTTAGAGTTCCACGCGAATTAATGTATAACTTGACAGTCAAGAACAAAATCCTCTTTCTCTTTCTCTTTTTTCTCTTTTGAATCTACTTTGAAAAAATCACCAAGCTTGTGCAAGGTTGGCATATCTTTTTCAAAGCTGACACGTTTATGTAAGGCTATTCCTATTGGCTTATGAATTATTTATTGTATTAATAAAACCTTGGTTCTTTTCCGTTCGGTAACAGAGAATCGTAAGCCAATCTCTTTCTCTGGGCAAGAAATTTTCATTGAGTGTTGATGTTCAAACGAAAGCTTGAATCTCTGGCTAGCGCGGTACATGGCCAGTTTTTTGAAAAGACTTTTCACAAAGCTGTGAAATTGGAAATAACATTATGTTTTACATCGAACGCGCAATTCAACTAATAGTTCGCTGGAAGCACGAAAAGCACAGGAATGTGTAGAGAGAATCTTTTAGTATCGGAGTCATACGATTTATCTGGAGTTTCTTTCAGAGCGGAGAAGCAATTCCTAATTGAGTAACAAAAAAAGCACTTCGCATGTGATCCGTCCAGGCGTCATCGGCCGATGATCCTGGCAACTTCCCTCCGCATTCCTCAGCCCGTGAATTGGCGAAAACACATGTCCGCGTATGTGAGTCAATCTTATTTTCCCTGCTGCACTACAGGGAAATGGTCTTTCCAGAAAAAAAGCACGTGTTTGGAATTCTCAAGCTTTGCGCTGTCGAAAGAATACTCATAGTCTAGAGAAAGAGCTCTATACTGCGAGATATATGCGTGTGTCAAACACAATTGTTTTTTTTTTGTTTTGCTAAAACGTTATAGAGAATCTTTTCGAGGAAAAACCATGTAACGCGTTGGCCAGAAATTTAAGCTTTCTGGTGATTACTAGCACTTTTATGAAAGTTCTTGTCCAACATAAGGGATCGGTTTACATTTCCGTGCTATCAAACGGGAAAGTATCAAACTTTTTGTACTCACCAAAATCATTTTTTTAATAAAATCATTCACCTTTGCCAAGTGTAGGAATTCTTATATTGTTTGGTGGGTCAACATTTGGAATATTCATTTGGTCAGAAGACCACATGGAACAGACATGTCAGTTGATGTGTGGTAGCGGTACATTGATAACCAATCTAGAAAATCATTACGAGTTAATGTTCCAAGTTTGTGAGTGAGATTGTTCCTTCCGTTCATTCCTAAACTCCTGAAATCTGTCCAAGGGCCACGAGGCCTTTTCACGTCGATGTTTTTGATCCGCGGCCTAGAATTCTGAGCACCATCTCTTAGTGGTCGTTATGTCTTTCTGTCCTAATGTATACTTGGAAAAGTACTTGTTCGACATGTTGACTAACCATGAAGGTGTTTTTTGTGCGAACATGATGTAGTATACTCGCTTTACCTACGTCATTACCTTATGGCTTCAAACGTTGGGAACCATATGGGTTATACTGACCCATGGTTAGTGTAGTCGCTCACCAGAGTTTTAGACGGCGCAAGCATAAAAAGTTGAAATTAGGGGATATTACTTGGTAAATTAAGTTTCCAAGAGAACACTATCACTATCCAATGATGAAATATCACTACAGAGATCCCTGTGAAGATTTTTATGCGCTTTTTGATTGAAAGAAATCCATTTGTTGTGAAATAAACTATTTTTCGAGAAGGGAAACCACGCCTTTCTAGAAACGAATACATTTCTAATCGTTGTTTAACATTTGGTTTTTTTAAAATCTTTGTTTTATAGCTATTCGATAGCTCGAATAATGCTGATTCTCATGGTATGCTTGGCTTGTTGTTCAACCTTCATACTACGTTTTCTTAACCAATAAAAAAAAAGTTCTGCAATCTTAGTCCATTTTTTGGACTTCACAGCGGGAACTTTGATGTTTTACAATGATATTGTAGATTGAATTAGTAGAATATTACTGAAGGGATACAGCGAAACGTATTTTGAGTTTAAGGACCTCATACATCTTTTGAAAAAATCCACTATTCTCTATGAACTGAGTGGAATGCAGTCACATCGTGAGAAATGTCTTCGTAATTTCCTTCATTTTTCACTTTGCCGAGCTTCTTCACTAGACTATTTTAAAAAAATTAAGAGCTTGAAAACTGGGAACTTTATTAGCAAACCTAATTTATGAGGGAACCTCCATGGTAAGCTCTACTAACAAAAAAATGACTTTGTGCTCAAGAGCGCATGTGGCTCAGTGGTCAGGGGCGTTTTGCATCGCACACGAGGCCATTAGTTCTATCTCGCGCTCATACCTCACCAAGCCTTCCATCCCTATGGATAGGTAAATTTGCGAAACTTGTCTGGGAGCATAATTAGAACTGAGTCAATCTCTCACTAGGTTACCACGAGTTATTGTGAGGGCCAGATATACACATAATCACCTCAAACGAGAATATAATTTGCTGACGACTGCATGACGCACCTCTCATAGATTCTTCGACGCGGAGAGCTTTATCCTTATAATTCTTTGCTCTAGGAAAGCGTAGTTTCAACTCCACGCGAACTTTGTTCAATTTTATGAAATGGATCTTGTATTCTAAGCTTAGTTCATCGACACGAAGATATTGAGTATTGCTGGAGGGAGTTCTATAAGCAAATTTCTTATTGAAAAATGCTCATATCCCAAAAATTTCTCTTTTTC